TAGCAGAAATGCAACAAATACGACTTTATCCAGAAGAAAAAACATTATCTGACATACTATTAAAATTTCCTTGCTCCTTCTCCCCATGTTGGCGTGGGTCTCCTCTGGGTGCTCCGGTTTCCCTCACAAGTCCAAAGACATGTGGCATAGGTGAATGGGGTATGCTAAATTGGCAGTAGAGCAAGTGAGGGAAAGAAAGTGTTTTCCTGAGATAAGTCGCAGCCGGAAGGCAGATAGTGAACGATTGCTAGATATATAGACAGATACATAGAGAGATAGAGATCCCTATATATATATTTTTATTTTTTCAATTACAAATAAATATATATATATATATATATATATATACAGTCACATTTATATACATTTATATTTATATATATATATATATATATATATATATATATATATATATATATATATATATATATATATATATATATATATATATATATATATATATATATATATATATATATATATATATATATATATATATATATATATATATATTTATTTATTTATTTATAAATATTAGTCCGTAATAAAGCCAAATCTGGAGCTAATCTAACAAAAAAGTTTACAATAACAGTCCAAAAATTAGAAGCCTAAGTTATATGTTCAGGAATAATAATTTTTTTTAAAGAGCAAAATTTAGAAGAAACAAAAAATAAAATGTAAAAGTTTGCATTTTTTAAAAATATTTTGCTTGATTTTAATTGTATTATCCTTTTGTTTCCAAACCTGTTTGGGGACTAAAATATTTTTTTAATAAGTGTATATGTTTAATAAATCTGTTTTGTTTAAATACATCAAAATATATTACCCATATTCACTAAGAAATGGATAAAAATATTCATTTTTTTAAATGGGATGTGTTCATTCATTTGAACACAATCCATTCAGTCAGCGCTTATACATGCTTTCACTGGTTCAGATGTTGCATATGAAACGACGATCGACGCACAGTATTAATGTAAAGAAAGTAGGATAGAATGGTAAAATACAGGTTTTTTTTGGCAAAAACGGGAGGGTTTATGTGAGTGTAGTTAACAGGAAGTGTTTGTGGAGGAACAGTTTTGCGAGGGAACGCAAAACGTCTTTGCAAGGACGCAAAACTTTGCGAGGGGGAACGCAAAACATCTTTGCAAGATAACGCAAAACATCTTTGCGAGATAACGCAAAGCATTTTTGCGAAGGAACGCAAAACTTTGCGAGAGAACCCAAAAACTTAGAAATATATATTTTCCTCCCACCCATTTTTTTCTTTTAACCATTTTTTTTTTTTCACCCAGCCAATTTTTTTTCTCATCCACTCTACGTCCCTTCCGGGGTTCCGTAATAACGCATGTTTATAAATTAAATTAAATTGTAAAAATGTTTACAGATTGAGATTCTTCTGATCCCATAACTCTGTAGTTGGTGGTTTGGGAAAATATAAACAGATGTTTCAATATAATGCTAACATATAGTATACTTTCTATGTGAATTTGTGTTTTGAGAGTTTACTGCAAACGTCACATCCATAACGCTGGAATTGCTTGCATACACACATTGCGATGCTGAAATGATATCTGGCAGCCCTACTGTGTAGAAAGAAATTTTTATTAAGCTTTTCTTTTGCATTGTATTTTGCAGTCTGTCAAATACCAGTCAAAGAGTCACTCAGCGAATGACCATCGCCATGACAAGATGCGAGATTCGGCAGACTCCACGCCACCAACTAAAATGCTGCGGCGATCAGACAGTCCAGACAAGCATAGTGACGGGACGGGGCACAGTCAAACGAAAGCGCTCCACGTTCACCGGCCCCGTGAGAGAGACCACGGTAAGAACATGAGCCGGGAGAGCATCAATTGCTTAATGGTTAATGAAATGTAGCTTTACATTAGACCACTTTCTTCTGCTTAAGTCGGTGGGTACATTGAGAAAATAATTTTCAGTTCTGTGTTAAAACAGGATAGAAAAAACAAAACTTGTATCAAATTTAGTATTACTGTTCTTATGGCAGGGGTGTCCAAACTTTTTGGGCCGAGGGCCAGATGCAAAAAAACAAACGTTGTCGCGGGCCAAATTTTACATACATCACACAGACACGCATATATATATATATAAATACAGTTGAAGTCAGAATTGTTAGCCCCCCTAAATTATTAGCCCCCGTTTATTTTTTCCCCAATTTCTGTTTAATGGAGAGAAGATTTTTTTCCACACATTTCTAAACATATTAGTTTTGGTAACTCATTTCTAATAACTGATTTATTTTATCTTTGCCATGATGACAGTAAATCATATTTGACTAGATATTTTTAAGACACTTCTATACAGCTTAAAGTGACATTTAAAGGCTTCACTAGGTTAATCAAGTTAACTAGTCAAGTTAAGGTAATTAGGCAAGTTATTTTATAACAATGGTTTTTTCTGAAGACTTAAGGGGCTAATAATTTTGACCTTAAAATGGTTCATAAAAAACTTGAAACCGCTTTTTATTCTAGCCGAAATAAAACAAAGGTCTTTCTCCAAAAGAAAAAATATTATCAGACATACTGTAAAAATGTCCTTGCTCTGTTAAACATCATTTGGGAAATATTTAAAAAAGAAGAAATGTGAGATAGTTTGGACACGGACACACGTAATTTGGACACGCCTGTCTTATGGGATAGCTGTTATCAATTTTTTAACTCAATTTTTTAACTCAATTTTTAACTCAATGACTTCAATTTTTTAACTCAATGACTCAATGACTTCTAATATCAATCTTTAGATCTAATTGATCAGTGGTTCTGAGTTTGACAATAATAGCTGATGCTCAAATCAATTTAAATAAGTTTAGTCTGTTTAATTGTTCACTTGTTTTTGGATATTTGTTTCTTCATTTTTAATAAGTATCTGTGTTAAAATTCTCTGTGATTCTGATAAGCATATAATTGTTTTCTTTCTTAGTATAAAACAAAAAATGTAGCAGTGTGATATTGCTGTATATCGGCACTGGTGGAAGGCGTGTGTTGTTTCAAGGCTGTAGGATTTAGTGCATTCGTGTACACCAGTGCCGATATACAGCCATACCACACTGCTACAAGTGTGATATTGTGTTTATTCAACGGCATAATCGTCTGTTTAAAAAAAAAAAATCAAATACGAAGAGTCTCAAAAATCCTTTTGTACGAAGAACTACTTTCTTCCGCAGGTCATTCACATCTGTAGCTGGCGTCAGAACAGCAGAAACCGTTGCTAATTTACAAACGTCACTTTAGAGCTAGTATTTAAATGATTCTCTAGAATAATGTCTAAAATGATGACAAAACAGGGAATTTTTGCTCACTATTTAAGATTATAAGGCTGAACAGCGTGAAATGCCATCAGTCTACTGAGATTTCCCAGTGTTTCTCTGTTGCAATCGGGAGATTACAATAATTAACCCAGAAAAAGTCAAAGCAAAGCAAACACTAGCAGATTACCATAGTGTAAATGCTGCACTACAACATACGAAAGAGAGAGATCGACTTAAGCCCCTTTCACACATGCAGACCTTTCCGGAAAAATACCAGCAATTTTCTGGAAAGGTCTGTATGTGTGAACAGGCTCTTTTTGAAAATACCGGTAAATTTGTTCCGGCAATTGTCCGGAAAGCCAAGTCATAACATATACCTGTAATTTGCCTGAATGCTGTGTTAATGCAGAAGGAAGATTGCCGAAAAGAGCGCGCTGATGTGAGACGTCTACTCCAGCCAATCAGAACATTCAGACGCATTCATATCCGCTCTGTTTATGGAAATAAGAACCTTTGGATATTTTTCCAGACACATTTAGCTGCTAGTTGTTGATCAGATAACATTTCTATGTTCCTTCCTAATACCAACTGTGTAAAAAATTATCAATAAAATACTTATAATAAACCACCGTTTGTTTACCTTCAAGCTCTGCTTGATGCGTGTGCATGTGAAGTGCAGGAGTGCTCCCATATTGTATACGTATTGTTCATTATTAGTTCATGTTATTTAACGCATGAACTAATGAAACCTTATTGTAAGGTGTGATCTTTTTAAAGGACCACAAACCCCCCTCTTTCAGCAGAACCTCTAGGTGGGAGTGTTTAGGGAGGGGGAAAGATTTTTTGCATAAAATGGGAGTTTCGGTTTGGGCACAAGCTAATTTTTACAGAGGCAAAACAAACACACAGACTCAGGGGGAGAAAGACAGTGACTGTGTTTACATGGACATCAGTAATCAAATTATTTGCCAAATTATTAATTTGTGGACTTTACCTGCAGTTTGGCTCTTTCCATTTCACTTTCATTCAGAAACATTTCCTGCATGCCCCCCGTGACAAACGAGATATTGTATGTGAGGAACTGCTGGAAGAGTGTAGTTAAAATGGAGTGTTTGATGCCACATGGTGAATGAGAGAAAAACCCCTCTGTATTTTTCAGTAACTAAGATGCACTCGGTAGGTAGCGTGTGTGTATAGACTATCCTTTCATGATCCTTCATGATCCTTTCATGAACAAAATGCGAAACTTTTTAGTGAAATATATGTGTCCTAACAGTGTTTTTAGCAGCGTAGGACATATATGACTGTCAACAGCTCAAAAAATGTGTTAGGTGTTTTGTGACCCTTTAATAAAATTTCACATTTTATCATTTAAATTTTCAGCAAATTTACAATAGAATTATTATAAGACAGTACACATTATCATAAATCCCTTGCTTTTTTTTTTTTAAATGTGTGAGAATTTTCAAACCTTACAAAACACAATTTGGTGGTTTTAGCATATAAATAGTAGTAATGTTAACTATGATAATCTGAGATACTGATTATGATATTAGGTTTTACATGTTGGTAGAACAGATTTGATTGCCACATTTTGGTATATTAAGCATTGTGCAAGCACTCTTGTGCTCCCTTCACACTGTATTACTTCCAGTTGTTGCCACAACCGTGAAGCTCCAGCAGGTGCATACACAGTGCTGTTTATCTTTTATTAACATTTATATTTTGTACTTTCTTTAATATTTTTTGTGCAAAATGTTCATGCACCTCTATCTGGATATATATATATATATATATATATATATATATATACACACACATACATATATATATATATATATATACACACATACATATATATATATATGTGTGTGTGTGTGTGTGTGTGTATGTATATATATATATATA